ATCTCATCACAATCCATACATTCATCCATTGTGTCAAGCACATTTGCACATATGCTGCCATCATCAGTTCAAAGCATTTTCTTTCCACTTGAGCCCTTAATATCAGCTCCTCATTTTCCTCCTCCCTCCTTCATGAACCCTTGAGAAGTTATAGATTATTATTTTCACATCTTACATCGTCCTCTGCCACTATTTACCCACTTTTCTGTTGTTCATCCCCCAGTGAGGGGGTTATATGTTGATGTTTGTGATCCATTCCCCCTTTCTGCCCCCACCCGCCCCTAATCCTCCTGGCATCTCTATTCTCCTTGTTGGCCCCACAAGGTAATTTTAACACATACAATATATATAAAATTTTTTGCACTCACATTTTTTGGTATTGTTACCTTTACACTATGTACATGTTGAGATTTTGCGTCTTACAGAACATCTCACCTTGGACTTACATCTCACGTGCTCAGCAACTACAACGTTCTAGAACTCTCGTTTCTCTCCTTCCTCCTCACCACCACTTAGTCTTGTTGGAGGTTTTCGAAGCACCTTCCCAATGTAATAGTATTCCGCTCAGCCAGTGTCACAGATCTCACAGACAGAGATTGTTAAAGGCGAAACCAACAACAGCAAAATGCCCCAAGCACAAACTCGGGGGAGGAGGGCCCCCAACAAGTCATCACTGGTATGCGCAAATGTACGGTTAAGATACATAAAGATTATAATAAAGTCATAGAGAGCATGAAATACAGGAGAGAGTCACATAGAGAAATCAGACACGTTTCATGGTAGCATGCTCACCTCCTGGATGGCCATGATCTTACCAACCAGATCCGCACAGAGCGTAGGCTGAGGTGAGGTAGAGTGGAGACCCAGAATGCTCGAAGACCCTGTTTATTGCTAACCAAGGGTTATATCTACTGAGGGGGGCGTGATTACAGGTAACCACACATCACAGGAAGGAGCAGTACAATCGGCATACAAGCAATAGGAGGGGGATGTACAGTGGGCATAGGTGTAACAGGAAAAGGATGAGCTAGGGATGTATACATGATAGGAAGGAGAGGGACTAGGGGTATATATGTGACAAGATGGGCGGACCCTAGATTCATGATGGCAGCCTAACCTTGGTCACCCTTGGGTGGGCTTGACCTCTCAGGGGTCTCCTACAAGGAAACAGTCAACTACTATCCTTATCAGAAGGGAGTGGGTCCTACTTGTTGTGGCAGGCATAAAGAGTGTTGTCTGCTTGCTCTGGATGGCTGATAACCCTTAGGGAGAATAACCCCTGACCTACTTCTGTTGACCTCCAAGTGTATAGTCATTTGCCACGTGTAGCAATCAGCTAAGTTTGGCATATATTTGGGGGAGACAACTTGGGAGAAACCTTTCTGCTTCCCACAGCACACAACACAAGAGTAATTCTTTAAGATATCATGTAGTCATGCTATGTTCAACTTTCCAATTGACTTACAAAACATCTGCCCGTGGACTCATTTGAATGAATAGGGGAAGGGTGGTCACTGAGTTATACAAGTGAAGACTGCGGAGAGCGCAAGTGTTGCGTTTTGTTTGTGTTTAGCACACATCCCGGGACCAGATTTTACACGAACAGAAGGACTAGGATCCAATCAGGCCAGACCCTCTGCAGGACCAGCTTGAAGCCCAAGTCGTCCTGGGAGTGTAGCGTGATTGGCACGTGGGCACAGTTTCCTTTCAAGATGACAAGAGCGTCCTGAAACTGGAGGGTGGTGATGGTGCCACAGCCCTGTGCATACACTTAATGCCACTGAGCTGTGCCCCTCCCTGGGCTGGCTGGAGAGGGGCGGCGTCGTCCACTTCCCAAGGCACTCTGTCTGGGGCAATGCTGCTCTGAGCTGCCGTTACTGGACAGATTCAGTGGAAGGTTAACCTACACGGGGACTCTGCACATGGTTTTGGGGCTGTCATCCGTAGCCTTCTGCAAACAGCATGCTTAGAATTTCAGCTCAAGTACAAGGGCCTGTGAGGCGGGTGATCCTTCACCTCTAGCTTCTCCTTCAGCTTTCCAAGCTCCCTTGGGCAGGGATGCAGCCCCAAGCACATTTACAGTCAGGTCTTAGGGAGAGAAAGCTGGGTCACTCACAGCCCAGAGGAGCTAGGACATCCCTAGAGGCTCCAGAGGCCTTGGGGACAGGTGGTGGGACCAAGTGGAGCCGGTAGGTTTGGCAAAGAGAAGCGCACTTTCCTGGGTCCTCTGTGAGGGGAGGTTGTCACAGAATCAAGAAGTGGATAGGTGAAGCTGGGTGCAGATTAAACCTGGCAACTAGAGACCAATACGTGAAACCCCGTGGGCACCTTAGGCCTGTACTTAAGGATATACGAGCAGCTGCCACCGGAAGAGCCTGACGGTCTGCCACACGGACCACCCTTTGCACCCACTTAGCAGTCTTTCCCTGCAAGAACCCAGCTCTGCTCAAGCAGAAAGCAAATGTTTGCGAATGATGAGGGCACAAATGTACAAATGTGCTTGACACAAAGGATGGATGGATGGATTGTGGTAAGAGCTGTACGAGCCCCCCAAAAATGATTTTTTAAAAAAAGAAAAGAACCCAGCCTTGGGCTAAAAACCTGCGCACATCCGGTCATGCGCACTCTTCACTCCATGCTGCGGACGCCGCAGCTTAGAGCTGAGTTGGTTCTGGTTGAGTGGGTTCGGGTCACGGTGACCCCGCGTGTGCCGGGTCGAGCTGCCCCTGGATCTTCATGGCTGTGAGCTCCCCAGACATCTCTGGGGGGCCCAAATGCAGCTTTTCAGGTGGTCGCCTGGCGTTTCTCTGTCTGTACCATGGGCGGGGGTGGGGGGGGGCTGCCTTATTAGAGGAAGGATCAAAATAAAGACCAACTCCCAGTACACGTGTCAGGAGCTGTAGGTGGGGCTTGGGCTCAGAGTTAGGCTGATAACTGCAAGGGCGGAGTTCAAACCCAGAGACCACTCCTCAGGAGCAAGACGAGGCTGTCTGTCCACATGAGGATTTATGGTCTGAACCCCTGACTCCCCTCGGCCGCAGGGCTGCTTCAGCCAGAATTGATTTCAGGGCAGAGGGTGACTGCAAGTTTAAGTGATGGGTTACTACTATGCTACTATAAGCTTTCGTAACAGTAAACTCTGCTTAAAAAGGGAGGGTTATTATGAGCTGTTTCGATGTATAAAAGGTGTTATGGTATCCTGTCAACAAAGGAACAAGAGGAAAATATAATGAATCGTGTAGTCCAGTCTCCTGGCTTAAGAATGAGTACATTATAAATGCACATCCTCGCCTCCTCAATGCCTCCCATTGATTTCTCCCTCTCCCCAATGTCTCGACACGCACACTAATGCGTTTGTGTTCATAAACAACATTTCACATTGTCCTGCGTGTTTTAAAACTTGCTAAAAATAGCACCCTACACACTGTAAGGAATTGAAGACTTGTTTTTCTTTGTACAATGAAGACAACGGGGCTCTAGGGTGTTGGTGTGGCTCCACCATCTCTGTTCCAGTGCCTGGATGGCGGCGGCAGCAGCAGCATGTTCCTGGCCTGGCTGAGCACTCCCCGACCACGCTGATTTCATCGCCCTGGGTAACACTTGGGTGCATCCATCAGCCGCCCTGCTCTTCTCCGTGGCTCTGGAGTCAGCCAGAGCTGGATGAGCTCCTTCTGTGTTGTCACTAGCTCTGTGATCTCCAGCAAGTCACTTTGCCTCTCTGAGCCTCCGTCTCCTGCAAACCAGGTGAAATTGAAATCCACTTTAGCGTTATGGGCTGTAAAGGAGACCACACGTACCAGGGGCTTAGCTCTGGACTGGCCAGACAGCAAGAGTTTGGGGGATCAAAGACATTCAGAGGACCATCCCCTTGGGAACAACTCCCCCCAGTTTGCAACGTGACATCTTTGAAGGAAATCAGATTCTTTGTTTCTCTCCTCACTCCCCGCCCCCGCCCCCCATGATTTTCAATGGTCACAAAAAAGCACTAGGTCTGACCCAGGTTTTCCTCAGTTTAAGGACAAAGGGCAAAGGTGTCCTTTGTGAACAGGGACGCTGTCGGGCAAATATTTCCAGGCTAGCGACCCGGAGCCCTTACTCGTTCGTGCCAGCGTGTCAGGGCCATAGATGCAGCCGGCCCCAGAGAATGTGAACCACCGATCCAGACATCCAAACTAAACTGACTAACTGCCCTCCCTTCGCTTCTGACTCCCAGCGAGCGACCCGATAGGACAGAGTAGAGCAGCCCTGTGGGTTGCTGACTCTGTGGGAATAGAAAGCCCCCTCTTTCTCCCGCAGGGCGGTGGGCAGTTTCAAACTGTCGACCTTGCAGTTAGCAGCCCAGCTCCTAAGCTCTGTGCCACCAGGGCTCCTTCACAAAGGGCCTGCGTCAAACATGCTGACCGGACACGGACGGAAGCGACCCACTGGACGGGTCCAGAAGATTAAGTCCAAACCCACCAGCTACAGGTGACCCGCGGCACAAGCCTGGGCGGGCACTTCTTTCTTTTTAAGCAGTGGGTTGTTTTACTGTGAACTAAGTCTTCCCTGGGCGGTGTGCACGTACTTCACACGCTCGGCTGCTGACCGAAAGGCTGGGGATGCAAACCCACCTAGAGGCGCCTCCGAAGAGCCCCGGAGATGTGAAGCCAGATGCATCAGTGCTTTCCTACGCCTCCCACGAAGACAGTCTTTCCTGTCTTGAAAAAAGAAAGGCAGTCTCCTATTCGAAAGCCTTAAGGTATTACTTTTTAAATCAGAGCACTGAGTCCATTTTGAATTTTCTTTAGTGTGATGTATGCTTAAGAGCCAATTTTACTGTTTTGACCATGGAATGCTAAATGTCCCCAAATCATTTTTCGAAGTCCTATCCTTTCCAAAGTACTGTAACACTTAGTCATGGCTTTGTTCATTCAAAAAATATTTGCTGTGCTTCTCCTCTGTGCTAGGCTCTGTGGTGGGCACCAGCGATTTTAACGACCAGAGAGAAAAAGGACACAAAAAGCGTTTCTACTCATGGAGTTACATTCCAGAAGGGGAGACAGACAATAAACGACATCCTTTCATCTCAGAGGGTGATTCTGCCGGTAAAGAAAAATAAAGAAAGAGAACATGCATCTAGTAAAATGCAATAAAGAGATTTAAAAAGCGGACCGGGATGTCAAGGGGGCGTTCTCCACTGACCTGGCATGCCCAGTAAAGACGTCACTTGCAAGCCAGCACGAGGCAGCCGTAGGAGAAGGTGGGATGGACAGGGAGCCTCGTGGGTATGTGGAAGGATAGCGTTCGAGGCCCCCGGGAAGGCTTGGTGTGCCCACGGAGAAGCGGCAAAGGCGTGGGGTTGAACAGAGTGAGGGAGCCGAAGAAATGAAGACAAGCCCTTGTCTGCACCTTGATGGCCGGTGAGAGGGGGACCTTCCGGGGTTCTCAACAGAGGAAGGGCGAGGCCTGCTTCTCATGTCCCAACTTCACCCTGGTTGCTGTGATGGGCAGTCAGTAACACTTGATCTCACTGTTTTGTGACCCTGTTTAAGTGATCCGAGGCTGGTTGTGTGAGGTCATGAAGGGCTGGTCTCCTTGGGAGGAGACCCTGGTGCCGTCATGGCCGCGTCAAAGACGAACAATGGCAGGTGAGAATCGCATGGTGGGTGCTCTTACGGACTTCAGCAGACCCAGGGACCCCTCCATCGAAGTTCTCAGAGAATTCTGGAGATTCCGTGACAGGCTCGCCACAATTTTAATGATTCTCCCCAGAGTTTTATGTTCGAGAGGCAGATGATGAAATAGAAACCCAGCCAGATGGCTAGATAGTAACTAACAATTTCATTATCTGCAGAAGGAAAGACAGCTGTGACAGCCTTAGGCTGACTTCCCCGGAGTCCCTGAGAACCCGGGCTTCACAGTATCTCTAGTGATAGTTTCTGGGGAAAGGCAGTTCCTTGCGATGAATTCAGATCTCGCCCTGAATTCCCCTTCTTAGATGGCACCTAGGCCCATGGCTGGCATTTTCTGTCAGACGGTAACATCCCTGACAGCGGTCATTTGGCCTCTGAGCCGCTGCTCTGGGCCTGCAGCAGCGTCTGTCAAAGAAGATGTGTGGGGTTTGGGGGTGAGTTAGTGAACGGATGACTGAAAGCAGGCACGGGACATGGAGCTATTTAGTGTGTGGGGTTCACAGCTGGGCCTGAGCTCGGGGGTTCCATCCCAGGGTAAGGTATCCTAGGCTGCGTTCTTCTTCTGGGGGTGTCTGGCTGTGTGACCCCCTGGGCGTTTCCCCAGCTGTCCTGGCAACCTGGGTTTTCCTGTGGGGTGGGTCACCCCTGAGCAGAGACCCTGGGGACTGCCCCAGTTGGATGCAAGGTTTGCAGAAGTCACGTAGGTGGGATCAGGAGCCCCACGTTCTCCTTCACCTCTGTGCCAGGCTGCCCACAACACACAACGTTCCTCCTGGCAGCTGTCGACACTCACCTCCCACACAGCCCTGCGGAGCCCGGCCCCAAGTGGCACGACTCCCTCCAGGCTGCTCTAATAATAACAGCTCTGTATTCTCAGCGAGCACGCATAGGCCTTCACTGAGCTGGACACGGACTGGAGAAGGTATGCCAACATGGCAAACGCGTGCGGACATTTATTTAAACATCTCCAAGTTAATCCCGATAGAGTTGAGCTCGTTAAGGGCTGCTTAGCCATGGAAAGAGGACAAGCAGAGGGGTGGCCATGCCAGCGGGTGTGTGTGTATGCCAGATCCAGGCTGGGGAAGGAGGTGGGGGCTGGGGGTGTCTAAGGGAGCAGGGTCAGAGCCTGGGCCCCAGTCTCTCCAGATGGATAGGGTGCCCACCAGATGTTACTTCCCCATGAGCCAGGGATGGTGGGAACCTGCTGGAAGGCAGCCAGAAAGCTGAAATGATGCCCAGGAAGGCTCGCTGTCTTTCTAAGAACTTTCGGCCTGGGCCTGTGCAGGGCTGTCTTCCTCTGAGGTGTGGTCCTGCGGCTCAGCCCCACCCAGCAGGTGAGGCAGGCCCGGCCCATCCAGTGGGCGTGGGAAGCTTTCAGCTCTTCAGCTCTCAGCCGCCGCCACGGGCCAGTCTGGACCTCACACAGCCCACTCGGGCCGAGGGCCTGCCTGCTACCCCGTTGGCCATGGTGGCACCTTTCCCAGTTCTGGAGAAGCCCACAGAGGTGCTCTGAGAAACGCTGGGCGGAGCTGGTGTGCCCAGCTGATAGCAGGAGAAACCCTTCATGATGACAGCTGGCCACATGCTGGCCGCAGTTTCTCAACGGCCCAGGGCCCCAGAGCAGATTCGGAGGCAGCTGTGGACGCGGCTTGCCCTGCTCTTAGTGGTGCCCCACCTGCAAGTGCTCCTGCGAAGCCCCTGGGGACGTGTTTCTTTTTCTCCCGACTTGTTCCCCCCACCCTGTTCTTCCACAGCTCCCCCGATGGCTGAGTGGAAGTTTTGTCCTTTCGGGGGTCTGCTTGCCCATTCAGAGGATGTGGGATTCTCTGTAACAAGGAATCCCTTAAGTCCCATGGAAAATAGGAGCAACAGAAATGACCCCGTGCCTGTACGTCCCCCTGGCTCCTGGTGACCCCGTGTGGAGGGAGTAGACGTGCACTCGGCAGGGTTTCCAGAAGTTGACCAGCAGCCCCTTCTTCCTAGGTGCCTGTGGGTGGAGATGAACTGCTTTATGGATGACCTCACCTAACGAGCCCTGGTGGTCCTGGGGAATAAGTATCGGGTTGCTAACTGCGAGGTCAGCAGTTCAAAATCCACCAGCGGCTCCTCAGGAGAAAGATGAAGCTGTGTGGAAACAGTCTCTGAAACACTATATAGGGTCTGAAACACTACATAGGGTCTGAAACACTATAGGGTCTGAATCCTTTTCATGGCAGTGGTTTTTTATTTGTTTCTTTAGAAAAACGTAACCTACAAACCCGTCGTTGTTACATGTCCTTCCACTTTCAGACTTTTGTGCTTATAGTCAGAAGTCTCTGTTTGTTTGAGGGATGAAACCAACCTGCAGTCACGCCTAAGCTCCCTGTCCTTAAATGAGGGTCTCTTGGCTTCCTTCAAAGCTTTTCGGACGCATTCATTTAGACTGCAACTTCCCTGCCAGGTTAAGAGATTAATCCTGTCAGCCGGGCCTGGGGAACATAGTGCTTGGAAGCATCATGTTGGAGTTGCGGTTTCTGAGCACTGGGTCTGCAGACAGCTGTAGTTGGCAGTGGAAGCCCCAAATCCACTTGGAAGTCTCACATGAATCCAGTCTCCACTGAATTCCTTCTGACCATTACCAGGCAATGGGAACAGCTGCGCCTTCAGGCAGAATGTATGAGCGTGGTAGTTACATAATCTGGTGTCAATTTGGGACTTGATAGGATTAAGAGTGGAGGGGTGGAGTCTAGTCTGTCAATCAGGTCATAGCCAATGAGACCTCTGTGTGGGCCTGCCTTCTCCTGAGAATTCTGGGAACTCCTGTATTTTCCTCCTTGGAGGCAGGAGACACACTCTCTCTCTCTGCTCACTCCCTGAGAGTCACTCTACTGATAAGACACATGGCACTACGCTGATAGACCCCATGCCCTGGGAACTGGAGGAGCCATGTGGAGACCCCTGCCAGCGCTGAGATGCTTCTACCACCCGTGCATCCACAAGACTTCCCACTCTCTGGCCTATGATCTTCCTGCATTTGGCGTCATTGCATGTGTTTCATGAATCCGAACAGGACTTTGTAGATTGGTATGTGATATATGGGCTAATATCAGACTTATGGACTTGATCTGGACCGGGCTGGGATGTTTTCTCAGTGTTCAATTGCTCTTGTCTATAAAGGTCTTTCTTATACACATATGAGTGTCTATGGATTTGTTTCTCTAGTCCACCTGGACTAACGCAATGAGTGACTGGATTGCTGTCACCCCCTATTCAGTCCAGGGAGGCGCAGCAGCAGCATAGCCTTTGGGGACTTGCCTGAGTGTGCCCTTAATGGAAATTGGGGTGCTAGAGCCCCTTGGTCATGAGTCTCCTCCCACCGCCTTAGGAGGTCCTGAACCAATCTTGAAAGCGCTTATGTTGACATGATGCCTGTATCCCTATCATGTCCCAGCCTGCTCCTGTGGTCCTCATGACTGGCATGTCCATCTGCCATCCTGCTTTGTGACAGTTTCCTTTGTCTCCCCCACCCCCGCCCCACCCCTGACACCAGGCCCTTTTTAAGTCTCGGAACCTCCGCCAACCCTGGCGCAATCCCAGCCCTGTGCTGATAGCCTCCTGCGTCCAGATGATGTAGCTCTGTCTTGTCTTCTGTTGAAAACTTAACAGATGCTCTCCTTAGATGATGTTTGGGATCTGGCACCTCTTTTGCCCTCCAGACCAACACAGAGGCACAGCAGGTAGCCCCTGTGTGGACACCGAAACTTTGCTTTGAATAATCACAGAAAAGTTGCCTGCAGTTCACGAAGAAAAGTTGCCTGCAGTTCACGTCTTTGATGACTAACAAAATAACGCATTTAGAAAAGCAGGTCCGGGCGTTTTGCACCCACCACCACCAGTTGGTCCCAAGTCACAGCAGCTTACACAGGCCTTCTGAAGCTGCACGTCTCCATAGGAGCAGCAGGCCTCACCTGTCTACTGTGCCCCAGCGGATGGGTTTGAATCGCCAACCTTGCTGTAAGCAAGCCGGTGCTTTCCAGGGCTCCTGCAGGATGCGCTCTGGGAGCCCCAAAGGCAGGACTCCCACCTCCGCCTCCTTCCTGGTCTTTCTTTCCTGTGCGGCTATCTGTGACAGCTCAGGCAGGGGCCGCAGGCAGCCTATCAGGACGCTTCCTTGTGACTTCTCCTCTCTGCCTTCTCCTCACCCGAGCAGCCTTGCTAGCACCTCAGCTTCTAATTTTAGCTTCTGCTTTGCATTGAGGGAACATCCGAGGAAACAGAACCCAGAGTTGAGGCAGGAGAGGAATCAGGCTGTTTGCTTCCTGATTAATGGCCAGGGTCTGGCTTGATGGCTGCAGGTGGGTAATGATGGAAGCAAGCAGCAGGGAGGGACAGACAGGCGGGGTCCTCCGGCATTGAGCCGCCTCCTTCCCTGCTCCTGCCAGAAGCAACCCTTCTGTCCCTTCCTGTCTGCACTGGTGGCTGATTACACGCTTCATAGCCACTAAGTGTGCTCCTGGTTTGATGGACATTCCACTTGACCCAGAAAGTGAGTGTGAGCATGTGTGTGTGTGT